GGACTGTAAAATATACATGTAGATCTTCTATTACACACAAATAGATATTGTATGATCGAAACAGGGACTGTAAAATATACATGTAGATCTTCTATTACACACAAATAGATATTGTATGATTGAAACAGGGACTGTAAAATATACATGTAGATCTTCTATTACACACAAATAGATATTTTTCAGTATATGTAATTATTAAAATAGTACATTAAATAACTATAACTTAGGTGGATTTTTTTCAGTAAATGAAAGTGAAATACAAATAATCACTGCGACATCCATAGGTTGTTTCAGAATAGGTCTAATCTACTGATCAATACAACTCTATACAATGATAAGCAAAGGCCTTTTGGTGTGCCTAACCTAACTTCACTACTGTTTGTATCGGAAAATGGGGGCTACATTTTTTTACTTTCACAGCATGCTAACGATCACATGATATCAACAACCACTTGATAGTATTACCTGAACTAATTGCCTTTGGTCCCGTATGAATCTCAATACGCGCACTGATTGGTTGAATTGAGAGAAAGAAGAAAAACAAAATGGCGCGGAATTAGTAACGTGCTGTGCTGAATCCGCCATTAAAATCCTAGAAACAAAGTTTGATTTTGAACTTAAAGAATGAAAAACAGTTCCGGACTTCCCAAAGTCCAGAACTGTTCTGGATTCGAGTTCTATTTAACCCATCCCTACGCATAAATAAAATGGGACACAATACTAGGGGCCACGGTGAAATTTCTAGTTGCCATGGCGACAAACTGCTAAGTTAGTGTAAATCGTTCAGTATAGAAACTGAAACCAAAGTGTAATTTGAACTCGCACATGTGATTTTCTGTTAGGTATTTTAATTATCTATGTTAGCTCAGAAAACCATATCATATTCAGTGTTTATTCTTTAGGTTATTAGGAAGAAAACTGATAAAAGACTGTGTGGTCTCCTTAAGTATACAACATTGTATCTTCTATACCTGTCTTTAAATACTATTTTGTGTTTTAGGCACAAAAACGTGTTCGTTTGTTTAAGGTCTTTTAGGAACAAAAACGTGTTGGTTTGTTTAAGGTATCTTTAGGAACAAAAATATGCTGGTTTAATTAAGGTCGTTTTATGAACAAAAACGTGTTGATTTGTTTAAGGTCGTTTTAGGAACAAAAACGTGTTGGTTTGTTTAAGGTATTTTTATGAACAAAAACGTGTTGGTTTGTTTAAGTTCGTTTTAGGAACAAAAACGTGTTGATTTGTTTAAGGTCGTTTTAGGAACAAAAACGTGTTGGTTTGTTTAAGGTCGTTTTAGGAACAAAAACGTGTTGGTTTGTTTAAGGTATTTTTATGAACAAAAACGTGTTGATTTGTTTAAGGTCGTTTTAGGAACAAAAACGTGTTGGTTTGTTTAAGGTATTTTTATGAACAAAAACGTGTTGGTTTGTTTAAGATCGTTTTAGGAACAAAAACGTGTTGGTTTGTTTAAGGTATTTTTATGAACAAAAACGTGTTGGTTTGTTTAAGATCGTTTTAGGAACAAAAACGTGTTGGTTTGTTTAAGATCGTTTTAGGAACAATAACGTGTTGGTTTGTTTAAGGTCGCAACTCTTACATGTCATAAACTGTTATCGAAAGAGCCCTGCGTTTCAAAACAAACACTTTTAATCGACGATCACCCATATCCTGATGTACTGAAGCTAGATCTTTCCACCCATCCACCCCTGAAGAAATCACTCTGTTCAATTATTTCAAACTTTGTTAGTTTTGGAGCAAAGCCACATATGGCTATCTTTTGTGTCCACCGCGGGGAATCGAACCCCGAAGTTTAGCTTTTCACTTCTAATAACAGACACAAAGCGTGTTAATTCCTAATTCTCAAGATGTTGTCTCAGTATATTAACAATTGTGTTGATAACGCATTTTTTTTATCACACAGAATTATATACATTTGGCTTATTTTTCTGTATAAACATTTTCATCTCATGTTCTGTTGATCTGAATAAAGGCTAAAATTAAGAGTTCGGTTCCTATTTCTGACAGACTTACTTTCTCTTACCCGTCGTCGCCTCGGTAAGCCCTGAAGGTTTCAAACGCAAGAAATCGGGTTTCGATACCTGCGATCGGTACAACACGGCTTTGTGTTACAAAACAAACACTCAAACGTCTTTGTTAGTGTGAAACATTAGCAGAGAACAATCTATATGAAGTAATTTTTCTAAAACATTTATAAATTATCGTAGTTTACTGAGCCATCATCTTGTTGTTTTTTTTCCATATCTAATCGTATATAGTAAGTACATGGATTTGCTTCAAAATGGCGTCTTTCTAAACTTCGGGAGACCCTCACGAGATGGCGTTTATAATCCTATTTCTGAATTTTTCTGGAACCCCCCCCCCTTTTTTTTTCTTTTTTTACAAGAACCGATTTTTTTATTTATTGGCATTCTCTTCCACAGATGTAAACATTTTGATACTGACCTAAACATAAAATTACACGGGATGTTGTCCACGAAGCTCAAAATCCGACGGACACAAACTGATCACGTTTTCTCGGTTGTAAGAACATAATGTTCGTCATACAGGGAGCAGAGAAGCGTGCAAATTCTTATCAGAGGGATAACGCGAAGAATGAGGAGGGGGGAGAATATATATATGTGTGTGTCTACACTGCTAGCAACTACTAACCCAGCTAGTCTGTAATCACCCTGGTAACGTTACGTGTACTGGTCGACTTTGCTCTACGTGGGGAGCAAAATGTGCACTGTGCCACACGTTCTGATACGGAAACCTTGGCGTAACTTTTGAAGGGCACCCAAGTGTGAAAGATGGTGGCGTCCGGGTGCCGTCGTGAGTACTTCACGCCGCCGCATACAACCCACATCTCCGACCGAAAAGACCGAGGTTTTAACAAACGAGGCTTAGCGAGAGAATTCAAGTAATAAAATGCCTGGCAAAATAGAACTGTTTAACTGGTTTTATTTTATTTATTTTGGTTTACGTAAAAATTAACTGAATTATTTGATACATTTTTTTTATATCCTGTGGCACGGAGTTAACGAGAAATCTCCGGTACTTTAAAACTACATATTGTATTCTTGTTTTAAAGTGATTCAACTCGAAGTAATACAGATATAGACGTCTACTAATAGTAGCTAAAACTGTTTCAGCTTACATGCGCCGCCTTTTAGCGTTTCAATCGTAAACTTAAGAGACGTTATTGAACCAGGGCTTTTATGAATGATTGGCTTTACACGCGTCTAGTAGTATAACACTCTTACAGAAACGATACCGAAAAACAGTATGGTATACCGAATACAATCATACAATTCGATCATACCATAGAGGTTTACACTTAAAAACTAAGGTTCAGTATTAAACTTTATTATATAATATATATATTACAGTTAAGGGTCCGATATAAAAACGTTATGGAACATATTTTAAGTCCGTTGTGTGGTTATGGTACGAAACATAGAGGTTTACACTTAAAAACTAAGGTTCAGTATTAAACTTTATTATATAATATATATAATACGACAGGCCTCGACAAATATTTTCTGATCTGGGAGTGAGTCGGGTCCGATATAAAAACGTTATGGAACATATTTTAAGTCCGTAATTATTTATTCAGTGTTGGTGATACTTCATAGGATATATCACTTATTCAGCGTTGATAATACTTGGTATTATATATTAGTTATTCAGTATTGATAATACTTGGTATTATATGTTATATATTCAGTGTTAATAATACTTGGTATTATATATTATAGATTCAGTGTTGTGATACTTCATAGGATATATCACTTATTCAGCGTTGATAATACTTGGTATTATGTATTAGTTATTCAGTATTGATAATACTTGGTATTATATGTTATATATTCAGTGTTAATAATACTTGGTATTATATATTATAGATTCAGTGTTGGTGATACTTCATAGGATATATCACTTATTCAGCGTTGATAATACTTGGTATTATATATTAGTTATTCAGTATTGATAATACTTGGTATTATATGTTAAGTGTTAATAATACTTGGTATTATATATTATAGATTCAGTGTTGGTGATACTTCATAGGATATATCACTTATTCAGCGTTGATAATACTTGGTATTA